ACAAAATATGGTATTTAAAACATTTACTGTGCAATGTGACAAATATGGTAATACTACTTCTTTATAAGTTTTAACTTATTTTAATATTTAGAATGATTCTTAGTGGTTTAACTTTAATTTTGTGGTCAAATGCAAGGCAGAGATTGTGTTTTTTCTGTCGTTGTGGGAGAGGAAATGGGAGGCAAAAACAGGAAGCAGTTTCAAGTGCCCAATTCAGTTCATTAGGCACAGAAAGAACTAGAAGACAAGCGGTTTATGGGCTTTCGGTCTTAATCTGATGTAGATTTACAGGCAAACTGTCTAAATGTGAGAGAGAAAGTGGTGGCCGACCATAAAACTTACCATTGCTAGCCGTAGTTTCTGCCAGTTAAAACTGTGGTGAGTCACTGTTATTGAGAAAATAAATAAAATGACAAAGATGCTTAAAGCTTCTAACATTCCCATCTAAATTCATTTGAATTTTACAGTAGTAACACTAGTTAAGCTTTCGGTTATTTTGGCGGCAACAATGGTTACCATGGTAAGTCTTTTTAAGTTTCTCTCACACTCACAGCTGCGGTGCGTGTGGGGTTCATAGGGTTGCCAGATGTTGGTTATTTGATGAGCGAGTTGCCAGATGTGATTGTGGTGTGCGATGTGAGCTGCAGGTGGAGTGGTGGATGGAGCTTTATTGATTTGGCTCTGTGATTTCTACACAGTGAAAAACCATTAAATTTCCCTTCACTAAAAGCAGCAGAACAATAGATTACCTCACCCTACATGACTTTCTTCCTTCTGTCTGCCATATCCCTTTTCCTTTTATTTTCTCTTTTCATTTTTGTCATTCTAAATCATTAGTACTTTAGTTCTTTAGACAAATCTCTGAGGAAGTAAACAACCTCTGTATAAAAGTGAGTTTGTAGTATTTGGCTTGTGTTTTACCATTTAAGTTTGAGGTGGGTAAGATTTCTAAATGTTTTTGAAAGTCTCTCTTATATTAATTAGATCAAAAATAATGTAAAAACAGTAATATTTATTATAATTTAAAATAACTGTTTTCTATTTGAATATATTTTAAAATATAATTTATTCCTGTGAACCAAAGCTGAATTTTCAGCATCATTACTCCAGTCTTCAGTGAAAGTTGCACTTTCACTGCATTATCAACACAGATTTCGTTCAGTAGGATGTAAACAGCGCCCTCTCTGGTCTGAGTGATTTGATGATTTTACAGTCACATCTTCCATTCAGCATTAATAAGGATTTATTGCTGTTCTCTTAATGTATACTTGTTTTTAAATGTGATTACTAGCTATCTATACCCTGAGCGGAAGAGGAGTTTACTTCTCTTCTTCTGTATCTTGTGATAATCTGAGTGTGTGTGTTTGCATCTAAATGTAGTAATTCACTCTCACTTCTTCAGGTCTGTGAGTTGAATCCTTGGATTACTATCCAACCTTTGATCTCGTAGCATTCCTGCCCAAACTGCAGCCTATGGCTGTCGCTATCAAATGCATGTGTTTTGTGTGTGTTTCAGGATGGAGAGGCAATAAACCTGAGAAGGCTTCTCTTCTCACATCACGCTTTGAACATAAGCTACCTATGTATCAAGACAGATAGAGACAGCAAGGTGTGTGTGTGTGTGTGTGTGTGTGTGTGGACTGAATGTGAATGATCAATAACATTTGTCAGTTGGTCATGGCAGGGTGCAATTTCAGCCACAGGATCTGTGTGTGTGAATTTAAACTATTTAATTGACTTGATGTCAACATGACATTAGAATTGACA